GACGAGCGGCGGCTGACGGTGTAGGCGGAGCTGACGGTGCTGGTGCCGCTGCTCCGGCGCTCGCCCAGGGCCACCAGGCCCAGCTCTGCTGCCGACAGCTCCGCGATGCGCCGGTGCGAGGCTGGCGGCGGCACCGGGAGACCGGGAACGTCCCCGGGCAGGCCTGAGGGAGAGAAGGAGGAGTTACCCCGGGACACAGCCTGGCAGTGGCAGAGCAGGGACAGGAGCCACCTCCAGAGCTGGGGTCTGGCTCTTCCATGGTTGGAGCCTGCAAGGACGGGGAGCAGGTGGCAGCAAAGACGGGCAGAAGCTCATTTAGGTTGGAAAAATCATGGAATTGTGGAATGGTTTGGGTTGGGAGGGATCCTAAAGACCGGCCACTTCCACCTCCTGCCATGGGACACTTTCCTCTAGACCAGGCTGCTCCAAGCTGGCCTTGGGTGCTTCCAGGGCTGGGGCAGCCACAGCTTCTCTGGGCACCCTGTGCCAGGGTCTCCCCACCCTCACAGGGAGGAATTCCTTCCAATATCCAATATTCCAATGTGAAGCCATTCCCCCTTATCCTGGCACTCCAGGCCCTTGTCCGAAACCCCTCTCCAGTTCTCTTGGAACCCCTTAAGGTTTCCCCAGGTTTTGGGATTCACTTCTAATTCCAGCAAGGTGTGGAAATCCCTGGCTGCCAACCAGACCTCTCCACACACTTCCCATGGGCCAGGCCCCACATCCCAGGGGTGAGGGACACTGATCTCACCGGCTCCGGGGATGGGCGGCAGGTTCAGGCCCTTGGAAGCTGCCGGTTTCCTCAGCTGCTTCAGTTTGTCGATGCGAAGGTTTTCCAGTTTGTGGAGAGCCATGAGCCCCGAGGTGCCCATGGGCTCCCCGGGCACCACGTCCTCCAGCGTGGACAGGTCCTCGTAGCTGCCGCCGGCGTTTCCTGCCATCTCCACGCCGCTGTCGTTGTTGGTGGTGCTGCCCAGGGGCGAGTGGTCGCTGCTGCACGAGGATTGCCCACCCGGGCTGGGCTGAGGCTTCTGGAGAGAACCAGAGCACGGCCAAGGCAAAGGGGGTCAGGTACACAGGACACACTTGGAATCGTCACAAAGGCTGGAAACGCCTCTGAGATCACCGAGTCCAGCTATCAACCCAACACTGCCGTGTTCAGCGCTAAATCACGTCCCCAAGTGCCACATCCCGGTGTTTTTTGGACACTTCACCAGGGATGGTGACTCCACCACTGCCTTGGGCAGCCCATTCCAGTGCCTGACAATGAAGAAATTCTCCAAAATATCCAACCTAAGCCTCCCCTGGAACAGCTCGAGGGTATTTTCTCTTGTTCCATCGCTCGAGGGTGATCTCCCAGCACCAAACCCTCCCTCCTTCCTCCACTGCCCCCGCAGCTCCTCACCAAGGCCAGCTCAGGCACCAGGAGTTTCCCATCGTCCTTCCGAGCCTCGCTGGGGCCGTTTGCGTCCTTCTCCTGTTTCATGTCCGGGGGGGCACTGGGGGTGGGCAGTGCCCGGCCTGGCCCCACGTCCCCTCGGTGCTTTTTGGTGACGTGGGCGTCGGGGCCGTGCACGGTCTTGACGTGTTTGCGCAGGGAGCTGGGGTCCGTGTAGCGCTTGGTGCAGCCGGGAATTTTGCACACGTACGGCTTCTGCCCGGGAAAACCGGGAGGAGGGAGGCTGTCAGCTCCAACTACAGCCCCCTCCCCAAAATTAAACCTCTCCTCATCACCCTCTGCAGAGAGCTGAGGGGGAATTGCAGGTGGGTGCTGGGGAGAGCTCAGGAAGGCAGAGGAAGGAGGGAGCCCCCCAAAAGCAGGAATGCTGGTGATGATGGAAAAGAGGGAAATTAGAGCAGGAAAAGAGGGAATTGGGGCACACAGGAGCAAAAGCCAGGGATGTGGGGAGTTCTCAGAGGATGGGAATGACCTGGAAGCACACGGGGAGCGCTGGGTGGGGCCGTACCTCGTTGGAGTGGGTGCGGTTTTGGTGCTTGGCGCGGTCGGAGGCGTTGGAAAAGGCCTTGTTGCAGCCCTCGTGCTCACACACGTAGGGTTTCTCACCCGTGTGCGAGCGCAGGTGGGTCTTGAGGTTCTCCAGGCGGGAATAGGCCTTGTTACAGCCCTCGAACTGCGGCGCAGCAGGGTGGGATGTGTCACACACCGGCACCACGCCTGGGACCTCGTCATCCCACATCCCACACCGTGGGCACACTCCTCACCTTCCTCATCCTCCTCATCCTCCTCATCCTCCTCACCCTCCTCACCCTCCTCATCCTCCTCATCCTCCTCATCCTCCTCACCCTCCTCATCCTCCTCACCCTCCTCACCCTCCTCACCCTCCTCATCCTCCTCACCCTCCTCACCCTCCTCATCCTCCTCATCCTCCTCATCCTCCTCATCCTCACACCATGGGCACCCTCCTCAGCCTCCTCATCCTCACACCATGGGCACCCTCCTCATCCTCCTCATCCTCCTCATCCTCACACCATGGGCACACAGCTTCATCCTCCTCATCCTCACACCATGGGCACACACCTCACCCTCCTCACCCTCCTCATCCTCACACCATGGGCACACACCTCACCCTCCTCACCCTCACACTATGGGCACACAGCTCACCCTCCTCCTCACCCTCCTCATCCTCACACTGTGGCACTGCCCCTCACCCTGGGCTTGTGCCGTGTCCCTGTCCCTGGCAGCCCCTCAGAGAGTCCCCAGGGGGAAACCACAAACGGGGATTGACTGCATCACCCAGCTCCCCATCCCGGGTTAAATTCAGGAACGTATTCCAAAGCACAGGAACGATGGGACTCTGGGCTCAGATGGGATGTTGGGAACAAATCCCTCCCTGGGAGGGTGGGGAGGCCCTGGCACAGCTTACCCAGAGGAGCTGTGGCTGCCCCATCCCTGGAAGTGCCCAAGGCCAGGCTGGAGAGGACTTGGACCAACCTGGGCTAGTGGAAAGTGTCCCCACCCATGACAGGGATGAGCTTTAAGGTCCCTCCAACCCCAAACATTCCATGCTTCCATGAGCCCCAAACCTGTACCCACCTGCTGCCCACCCCCTTCTGCCACCCCTCCACTTGTACCCGCTCTCATGCTCTACCCTGTCCCCCCTCATTTTCCCAGCTCACCCAGCATTGCTGAGGAATTTTCGGCATCTCACCGTGCACTTGTGAGGTTTCTCGCCCGTGTGCCGCCGCATGTGCACCACCAGCATGTACTGGGCCTTGAAGGGCCTCTGCTCCCGGGAACACGCTGCCCAGTGGCACACAAACTCCTTCTTCTCCCCGTGGATGTGCTCGTTGTTGATGTGCTGAGAAGGGAGAGGAGCATCACTGGTGGCACTGGGGAGGGGGACAAGGGGCAGGGAGATACGAGAATGTAATGGGAGAAAGGGGTATGGAGGGATTGGGGTGGCAGAAAGGGACGTGGACAGACTGGGATGGGAGAAAGGGACATAGAGGGACCAGGATGGCAGGTGCAGACAGCAGAGTTTGGGGGAGAACAGCTCAGGTGGGGTTTGGAGGAGGCAGAGAATGCAGGGGATGTTTGAGGGATGCTCTGGGAGGATCAAGAGTGGCCAAAGGCATCAAGGTGATCTGAAGGATGGTCAGGGGGATACAGGAGAGTTGGAGGAAAGAAAGCTGGAGCAAAGGAGGGAGTCTGGAAGCACCAGTGGCTGAGGAGAGCTGGGGGATGCCCATCCCTCCCTTCCCAGCATCACGGTGAGCTCCCAGGGCGGGTGGTTGGGAACTGAGCAGGAATCATGGGCTGATCCAGGGGGATGAGGGCAGCTTTGGGGGTGGGAACACCTCGGCAGCCCCTGACTCACGTGCACCAGCTGCTCCTGCGTGTCAAACTCCTTGGCACAGCCGTCCCAGTAGCAGTTGGTCTCATACACAGCCTCACACTCGGGTTTCCCATCCTCCTTCTCCAGCTCTTCCCGAACGTCCAGCATGCCCAGCAAGGGGTCCTGGGGGAGCACGGACAGGTGAGCGCTCCCAGGTGTGACCCCCAGGAGCGGTGCTGGAGTTGGGGATGTGAGGGGGGATCCCATGGCCTGCAGTGTACCTGGGTGCCCGTGGATGCTGGGCTGGAGATGTCACCCTCAGATCGCTCCTCTGGGAATTTGGCACTCAGGGGGCTGCTCAGGCTCCACTCCAGCTTCAGCTGCTGCCGGGGCAGGGGAATCGGGAAGCAGTCGGCATGGAGATGGCCACAGGAACACGACTTACATGGATGCACAGCTTACAGGGATCCCTCTCACACAGATCCCACTCACATGGATCCCCTCACCCAGATCCCCTCACCCAGATCCCCTCCAGGATCCCCTCCCGGATCCCCTCCCATGGATCCCATCCCGGATCCCCTCCCGGATCCCCTCCCGGATCCCCTCCCGGATCCCCTCCCGGTACCTGGCAGTGTTTCAGGGTCCCTCGGGGCGGGTGCTGCAGCAGCCCCGGGCGCGGGGGCAGCTCGTGGGAGCTGCAGGGTGGGGGCGGCGTGTACAGGTGGCCTTGGCCCTTCTGCTGCCCAGGTGGGCTCTGGTACCCCAGGGACGGGCTGAGGAGAGCAGAGGGACGGGCAGGTGACACCGGCAGGACACACGAGTGAGATCTGCCCAGCCGGGGATCCCGATCATCCCTTCCCCACCATCCCACCCCGCTCCGGCTCTCCCAGCGCTCCCCGAGGTGGGAACGGGCGCTGGTGCCCACCTGATGGTGCTGATGGAGAGGTGCCCGTAGGAGCCCCCGGCCGAGGCACAGCGGGAGTTGATGAAGGCCACGAGGGAGTTGGGAGAGGTGCGGATCACGGTCTGCAGGTCGATGCTGGAGTCGGACAGCGGGGAGATGGACAGTGCCCGCTTCTTCCCCAGCTTCCCCGCGCCGCGGGGCGTGGAGAACCGGGAGCCTGGGAGGGCAGAGCAGGGGGCACTGCCCTGAGCGTGGCCAGAGCAGGGGGCACTGCCCTGAGCGTGGCCAGAGCAGGGGGCACTGCCCTGAGCGTGGCCCTGGGGGCTGCAGACACCCCTCGGACACAGCCGGCGTTTGGAGGCTGCAGGAGTGCCCCGAGTGCGCCAGTTCGGATTCAGAACAGAGAGATGCTTAACTCCTCTAGGGAATCCTGGAACCCCCCGTGCCCCACGGGGCCCCAAAACCGGAGACTCACCGTCAGCAGCGAGTTCAGCTCCTGGTGCCAGCCCATAGCCACGGTGCCCGGGCTGATGGCACACGGGGAAATCAAGTCCTGGAGGAAGGAGGACGGCTGAGGTGGGTGTGGGAGAGGGACCCCCGGAGCACCCCTGACCTCGAGGGGTGGATGCGGAGCCTGGAGCCCCCCACCATGACCCACCTGGTGGTCCCGGGGCGGCGGG